TCAGATAGATAGATATATTTACTCTAGAGTTTGCAGTGAATGTAATAAAGTACAACTAAAAAACAAAGTTCTCACTATATGTATTAAGTCATTCACTTAAGAAGCGTAAATACTTTTATCTTTTTAGAACTTTTTTAAAAACAGTGTATTGTCTTCAAAAAAGCAACGTATTTTTTAAACAAAGTGAAAACTTTTTATAGATCAGAATCTCAAAACATCACGAGCTTAAAATCATTTTTTTTTTCTTTTAAAAGAAAGGCTTTTTTTTGTCAGATAAGGAGAAAAAGAAGAATGCTTCATGCGCTGACGATAGAGAAAGAATGACGGCAAAAGGGGAGAACTTTAAAATATACGTCAGTCAATTTAAAGGAGAAGTTCTAAAAAATACCACTTTATCTTTAAATAGAAAATCCCTAAAGAAAATCTATAAGTTCTAGTTAGTTGGAATTCTTCGAAATAAGTTGCAAAAATAAAAACACTAGTCTCGCAGAAACAGAAATTCCACTGAAGCTTCTCAAATGATTATGAGACTAAGTTCTTAAAGCTTTACTTAAGAACTAGCTTATTTTTATTTATTTATTTACTTTTGTTTCAGTGATTGCCTTTACTTCTTCACTGCTCAGTAAATTTTCCAGCCTAAATGACTGTAACCCTCTAATTCTTAACTGGAGGCTTAAATAGTTGCGTTCGATTTTATAGTTAATTGAAGCAAGGAATTAGGCATAATTTTTTTAAACTTATATATTTTAAGGAAGCCTAATTAATGCCCTATGTGCGTGCATAAATTTTATGAACTTAATCAGCAACAGCTGTTCCGAATATTTATGGTAAAATGATATGGCTAAATAAATTTCTTTACTCAGGAAAGGAACTTGTTCTGAATTTAGTTTTTTTTTATTTTTGATATCATATATCTGGACAAAACGATAACAATACATAATAGCCAATTTTCTTTGATTTATTCTGAAACAAGCACAATGATGATCATTATGTAAAGTTTTGCAATTCTAATAATTTGAAGTTGCAAACTGAACGTAAAAAATATAAAAAAAGAACAAAATCGATTTCTACATATAGGTCAACAAAGAAAAATTCTATTTTAGTTACTTTTTATTAAATAATTACAATTAATATAAATATGCACACACACTCTATAACAAAGAAACGATGCTTCTAGAAGGAGTCGCTTGATTGTAATGAAATTTCGTATGCAAAGACATTTGTAAAGAACATGCAAATGATTAAAATTTGGTGTCTTAACGAATGAATAGCGGGAGCTAAAGAGCATTGGAATTGCGCACTCAGCAGGTGTCTGTAAGAAGCAATTTTTAACATGAGTAACAAAATTTATGTTGCATTCCGATTTACGACACCTTCCAATAAATGAAAAAAATTATTGGCGCAGGATTCGAGCTCATTACGAGCAACTGTCCGACTTTGAAATAGGTCGTATCATTGGATTAAAATAGGCAGGCTAGGCAAATCGGAGAATCGCTCGTTAAATGGATCGAAACGATGCGGCCATTAGAAGATACTGATAAGAATGTGTGGACAGCGGCAGATTTCAGCGTAATGATGATAGTGGTCTACCTAGGGCCACTGCAGATCGGAAGGACAGATTTATTGTCTGATAAACTGCCACAGTGCCTGATTCATAGTTATCAACCATTAGACGTGCGACCCACACGTGAGTATCCGACCATGACCATTCACAGACCTCTGATAGAGTGAAATTTGCGCTCGTACCAACCGCTACGCCACCTGCTACTTACGCCTGCACACTGTTGAGCCAGATTACGGTGGTCCTTCGCTCGATCATGTTGAAATCATGCTGAGTGGGGACATATAGTGAATCTCGCTTCCGACTGTGTCCTGACGATCCACGAAGACGTGTCTGGAGACGCCCAGGGCAGCGTGCAGATATTGCGTTCCCTATTACACGCCACGCAGGCCCTCAACTAGGAGTTATGGTCCGGGGTGCCATTTCTTTTGACAGCCGGACCTTTTTGGCCGTCATTAGAGGCACACTTACAGCCCAACGGTGCGTCGGCGACATTCTGAGAACTGTTTTGCTACCGTTCCTTTTGCAGTACATTGGCCTTTTTTCCCGAAGATAAGGCCATACCGCATGCGGCCGTTGTTGCTGTGAACTGTCTCACAGCTTGTCAAACACTTCCTTGGCCAGCCAGATGGACAGATCTCTTTTCAATATAGCATGTCTGGAATATGATGAGAAGGCGATTTACATCTACCAGTGAATGTTGATGACTTTTTCCAATGATTGGAGCAAATTTGACAAGAAATAACGCAGACCATCAGAGTGCTTTATTACTCTATGCCACATCGTCTGACAGCTTGCATCCATTCTAGAGATGGGTCAACATCTTATTGAGCTCATTACTTTGTCACTATGTTACTTTGAAATAAATGATTAAATTTTTCTGAAATTTTAATCATTTTCTATATTCCGTATACATAATCTTTCTACCCACCAATTTTTCTCTTTTTTGGACAACACATTCTTGGTGCGTCCCTTTTTTGTTATAGAGTGTACATATGATAGAATCACAATATCAAATGACAAAATAGAACGCGATTTTTCTTCTTGCTTTCTGTATATGGTGTTGGACTATTTTTTGTTTGTTTGTTACTATTTATTAATTAACTAAATTTAATTATTCCAATTAAATAGCATCGTAAACAAGAAACACATTCTCAGAAATTTGGCCATCCCAGGTGGGATTCGAACCTACGAACCTGGAATTAGATGTTCAACGCGCTATCCATTGTGCTACCGGGATACAATGAACGATATTCGTTTCTGTATGCTGTTGGAATATTATTAATAATACTATTCATTCATTTTTAATTTAATAAGTCAATGTTTAAAAAAATGTATTAGCATCAAGTGTCATCCACTGCAAGTTTTCAAAAATGTATTTGAACTTGAATGGATGAATAGAAAGCATTTTATACAAACTATTGTAAATTTGAATAATATATATATATATATATATATGTGTGTGTGTGTATATATGTATGTATGTGTATATGTGTGTGTGTGTGTGTGTGTGTGTGTGTGTGTTGTGTGTGTGTGTGTAAGGATAATTAAATTAGATTAAAAATTAAATTTCTAATCTAACACTTAAATCATATTTTTCATTTGATCTTCAAATATCAAACTAATCACCCCTTTATTTCTTCCGAACATATGGCCTAGCCAATAAACATGTCTAATTCCATATCGTTATATTTAATAGCCCTATATGTCTGCATTAACTTTCAAGTAAACTCATAAAATCCGTGATACTTTCCGCATCTGTACTTTAAGTGGTAACCCACTTAGATTTTCGCGGTGGCGTGCTTTTTTCCTCTCTGCTCTTAGCGTCAAAATATGTCTAACTTTCATCAAATAAAGATCCTTTTTAAAAATTCATTCTGATTCTGGCTTCAAAACATGTCATATATTCATTGGGAGAGAGTAAAATATTATTAGGAATAAAAAAGAAACGAAAAAAAGAGCATTATTATACAGAATTTTGTAATTCTAATAATTTAAGGTTACAAATTGTACGTACACATAGGGAAAACGTACTTGTATAACAATAAGAAAAATATTTCAATTTTGATAATTATTTAATATTTATCTTATTGTTTTATTATATTAATTTTATGGTATACAGTGAAAAACTATAAGCAGCAAGATATGTCGAGAAAAAAATAATGCATTTGAATCAGCTGTTAAAAACCAATGATGTAAATTTTTATCATATATTAAAACTGTATCAAGAGTAATGAAAATTGAATTCATAAAATAACATTTTCACTACCATTACAGAAATTTTAACTTCAAATTACATTGTGTGTGTGATGAAAAATGAAATCCTAACAACAAGAATAATATGTTGTTAGTTATAATTAATATACATAAAGGGTGTTTTTTGAGAGGTATAGAAATTTAAACTACAATAAAACAACGATGCATTATTCGATTGACATGAATTTTTTTTATTCGAAAGATAATCTTGTGGCATTACATTTTAAATATGATTTCTGGCATATGACTGCCACGTCTGGCTCGGATGTAGTCCAATCTGGACGTTTCGATGACTTTTTTCCAACATTTGTGGCCGTATATCGGCAATAACACGGCGAATGTTGTCTTCCAAAGAGTCAAGCGTTTGTGGCTTATCCGCATAGACCAATGACTTTACATAGCCCCACAGAAAATAGTCTAGCGGTGTTAAATCACAAGATCTTGGAGGCCAATTCACAGGTCCAAAACGTGAAATTAGCCGGTCACCAAACGTGTCTTTCAATAAATCGATTGTGGCACGAGCTGTGTGACATGTTGCACCGTCTTGTTGGAACCACAGCTTCTGGACATCATGATTGTTCAATTCAGGAATGAAAAAGTTAGTAATCATGGCTCTATACCGATCACCATTGACTGTAACGTTGTGGCCTTCATCGTTTTTGAAGAAGTACGCTCCAATGATTCCACCAGCCCATAAAGCGCACCAAACAGTCAGTTTTTCTGAATGTAACGGTGTTTCGACATACACTTGTGGATTAGCTTCCCTCCAAATGCGGCAGTTTTGTTTGTTGACATAGCCATTCAACCAGAAGTGCGCTTCATCGCTATGCAAAATTCGCTTATGAAAATCGGGAACAACGGCAATCTCTTTTTGGGCCCATTCGACGAATCTACGCCTTGCTTGATGATCGTTTGTCTTCAATTCTTGCACGAGTTGGATTTTGTAAGCACGCAAACCAAGATCCTTCCGCAACGTCTTCCATAAAGTGGATAGACACCGATCCAATTCCTGTGCTTGATGGCGGATGGACTCATTCGGGTCTTCCTCAATGCTACGCTCTACAGTAGCAATAGCTTCTTCTGTACGCACCGTACGGCGTCTCTGGGGATGGGAGTTATCAATCAGAGTAAACGTGGTGCGAAAACGTTCCATGGTTAATCGAATTAACTGCTCTGATGGACGATTTTGTCGAAGTCAAACGATAAATGGACGTAGTGCGTGTGATCCGCACAGAACATATTCCGCACAGAGAACCAAACTGAGAATAAATCCCTTTTTCGAAATAAAATTGCATATATATATAAGAAATATGAATTTATCAAAAACGTTGTTCAGGCGTGAGTCTATTATAGAGAAAATGATGAATTGCCAAACAAAACTGAGAATAAATCAGTTTTGACAGCTGAAAACCAAATAAAAATAAATCGGTCGCAATCTTGGAAATTAAAGAAAAATCCAACTTAAACTTAAGAAAAGTATACCTAATTTAAAAAAACACTCGATTTATATATATATATATATATATATATATATATATATATATATATATATTATAAATAATCTATTTATTAATATTTATTTATAATTAATATAATTATTAATATTTTATAGTTACTATATTTAGTTAACTCTTTAAAGGGCTATTTATTTGTAGAAAAAAATAAGATATTTTCGGCATTGAAATTGATTTAAGAAACAAAATTAATCTAGCCTATTAGATGAAATTTATTTGATTTTTAACGCCATTTTTTCTGTGGTAAGTATACTTACCAGAAACCATTGAGGCTATTAAAAAATAAGCAACTCAATGCTTTATTATTTTTGTTTTGTTTTATGTTTATAAAATACATTTTTAAGTGCTACTAACTGGGAGATAGTTGTATATAACAGCTTTTTCAATTCGTATATTACAAATGACAATAAAATTTTCCATGAAATTTTGGAAAATACGAAATTACACATAAGTGTTCACCTTAAGTTGTGAAGCCCCCCCCGGGTCTCACCCTGGACACCAAGATTAATTTGAGGCAAAGAATCACTAAGAGCCATTTTGTATAATAATAACTTGTATTTATTATATCAAATCTCAAAAAAAACTCTAATAACATGTAATATTTCTATGTTACGTGAAACAAAAATGATTTACCTTTAATATTAAATTAAATTACGAATCATGAAAGTAATCAATAATTATGCTCAAGATCAAATGAGGTCTACCAAAATAGGAGGTCCGAGAAATACACGTACTCGAATTATTAGCTTTCATTAACTTTAACTAATTTTACTAAACTAACGCTTATTTTAAGCGTACGTAAATTATAGTTACCGCTGGGTATATCAGTTTTCTAGTTCTTCCGTAGATTGGCAGCAATAAGTCTTCACTAACGTAATCTCCTAGAATCCTCTAAATTTGAGGCTACTGCTGCTGTCTCAATAGCCTTCATCCTTGCTAGCTTACAACGCTCAACCTAAATACCCTATCTACTTTGGATATCCCGTTCACCTTTTGGAGTTGATTGGAAATATACGCGAATTTATAATCCCCAAAAAGACGCCTAAAAATATTAGTGGAAATGTTCCGTACAAATTCGTCACGATCCCCTCCAAAAAGAAAACGGGATTTATTCGAAGGTCACAAATGGCCTGAAAATAAATTATGTAACCAATTCGCGTAAACTTGATTTATAGTCTCGACGACTTTAATATATATCTCTAATATATATCACTTCGGCCTGGGCCGAAGCTTTTTGTAAACGAATAAGCTCACTCCACTTAGTGAAGTGGTTAGTTATTACCAATAGAAGTATATCATGAAATTATTGCATTATTGCTTCGCGAAGCGATTGAGAAATGTACACTTTTAGTTCTCCAAGAGTTGTAGAATATTTCGCATAAAAGAGTAGACCATCAATTAATTTAAAATCCTGGGACCAGCCCTCGCATACAGTTGCATTAACGGAACCATCGTCTGGATTTTCTAAATAACGATAGATGTGCCCTAACTCAGGATCTTCCCTTTGCTCTCGAATGAGTTGTTCTCTGGAATTTAAGGCTAAGGCTCGAAGAGCTGCGCACGAAATTTGTGATCCATCCATATTGCCTACTGGATTCCTAGACAATACGTCCGCGACAACGTTTTGGACACCAGTCGATGTTCCCATTCAATGTTTAACTCGGATAACTTGAGTGCCCATCTAATCATCCGACTAGATGAGTTTTTCCTATTTGTTAGCTTTGTTAATGCCGCGTGATCTGTGATTACCTTTACCGATAGTGTTTCAAAATAAGTTTTAAACTTATTCAATGCCCATATCACCACCAAACATTCGCGTTCTGTAACTGTATATTTTCTTTCGACGTTGTTCAGGGTTCTAGACGCGAATGCAATAGGTCTGTGATTTTGATTCAGCACAGCACCAATTCCGACTCCACTAGCATCCGTAAATAAGTTAAACTGTTCCTGAAAATTCGGCAACTGTAAAACTGGTGCCTTTGTTAATGCTTGTTTTACTTTATTAAAAGCATCCTGTGACCAATTAAATTTAGCCCCCTTTTTCTTTAACCGATACAATGGTTCACATATATCTGCATATTGGGGTATAATTTTTTGATACCACCCCGCCATCCCTAAAAACGTCGACACTTCCCTATTATTTTTAGGGGGTTTCATTTCTGCGATTGCCTTGACCTTACTATTGTCGGTTTCAATCCCTTCCTTACTAATTATGAGACCTAAATACTTCAATTTGTCACGTGCGAAGTGACATTTGTCCTTATTGAGTGTTAGCCCTGCGTCTCGAAACAATGTAAATACCTGATTCAAATGATCTATGTGTCCATTAAACGATGGAGATGTAATAATAACATCGTCCATATATGCCATCACGAAACGACCAATAACCGGTTTCAATATAATGTCGATGGCCTTTTAAAAATTTGGCGACGCCCCTGAAAGGCCAAATGGAATTCTGAGGAATGCAAAA